GTCTTGGTCTTCGTTTTCTTGAGGTTGTAATTAAATCACCGGCAAACACTTAATCAAGTTTTCTCAAGTTTCTAAATCACTTTCATTTCACAATGGACTCTGGCGATAATTTGTTTCCTTTTGAATGCTTCAACGCTTCGACAATGTTGTACGACACATTTGCAGATGTCACACCAACACCGAGGCAAGGCAAGGTACTTTCAACATAAACACACACACTGATATGTTTAAGTCTTCAACTAAGCAAACACGTATAAACGCAAGGATCCATAGCCAGATTTGGATGTGGGATTGAGAAGGGGAGGGGGGGGAGGGAGAAGTGGAAGGATATTTTGGAGTAGTTTATGTGTTGCTTATCACATATTTTGGATGTATGTATGTTTGTATGTATATATGTAAGTTGGGTGTATGTAAGTATTTGAGTATGTTAAGGTATGCCATCCTCACAGCTGCTAATATAGCCACGATTGCATGTTAAATATATGTTATGTTATGGCCTTTGTATATGTATGTGTGTTGCTGTGAGAAAATTAAATTGAAAACGTGCTGAAGCGTTAAACTGTTTGTCAACTTTCTCTCTCTCCCTCTGTTTCGATGTCAATCTATGGACATATGAAAATTAGTAACCTCAGCAAGATGTCCACAGTTGTTTAGTCTTTTGGCCAGTCCCAGACGTGATAGTAATAATAATAATCACAACAAATGTGTAACACAAAAATAAACAAATAATCACCAGTAAATAAAAGGATATCAACTAGTTCGGATATAAAACACACATATAAATATTCACATGATTATTTAGAAATTTAGGAGAAAACACATTCCCGGGTGAAAATTTAGTTTCTTATCAGAAGAGGTTAAATTTGGTGGTAATGACATATTTCAAATTGTCTCTGAAAATTGTAGTGGTTAACAAAAAAGGACGAAAATAATGCTATATCTAAGAAGGTTGAAGATTCTGCCAAATTTATGTAGATATGTTGAGATTCTCAGATTTCTTAAATCCTGGAACTTAAAACCTTGATATGTTCTCTTGTTACAGTTGGCAAAATATCTATGGCCGTGACATTCAATATTTCCGATGGTTGAATTGTAAAGTACTCATATTCTCGATGCTATGGGCAAATTGATATGAGGGCAAATCAAAAAGGGGCAAGTTAAATAGCAGCTAAGTTCGGCCGGGCCAAGCTTTTAATACCCTCTACCATTTTGAAGAAACTTGAAAATTAAAAAAAAAAAAACAAGTTAAAAATCAGTAAGTTCGGCCGGGCTGAACTTTGAATACTCTCCACCATTTGGAACGAATTTGTAAATTTTCAAAAAATAAAATCCGTTTAAAATTCTGTTAAAATCTTAAAAATACCAAATACAGCTGTTATATTGGGGTCTCTACGACGTGAACCTACATAGGCTATATTTGTCATAAGCCATTGCCATATTAAAATTCGAAACTTGAAATAAACGGTGAATAATGTAGCTAAAATCGTCAAAATATCGTATATAGGGAGGTCCCGTTATATCGGAGCTATACGAAGGCCTGTACCTGCATAGACAATTTGCTATCACAGGCTGTAGCATCTATTACGAACTTGAAATACGACATCTCAAACAATTTCGGAGAGTATAGTATCTAAAATTGTCAAAATATAGAATATAGGGAGGTACTGATATATGTGGCCTATACGAAGACCTGGACCTGCATTCAAAATTTTCTGTCACAGACTGTAGTTCCCATTACGAACTCTAAATACGTAATTTGAAACTACTCCGGTGAATAATGACGCTAAAATCATCAAAATACCGAATATAGGGAGGCATCGTTATAAGGGGGCTATACGAAGACGATGACCTGTATACGCGATTTTTTGTTATAGGTTATACCGAATATAGGGAGACATCGTTATAAGAGGGCTATACGAAGACGAGGACCTGTATACGCGATTTTTTGTTATAGGTTGTAGTATCCATTGCGAACTTTGAATGCAAAATTAGAAACAATTCCGGTAAAAATTATCCCTAAAATCATTAAAATGCCGAATACTAGGAGGTACCGTTACATGGGGGCTATAAGAAAACGTGAACCTACACAGATACTTATACTTATAGTACGCATTACGAACTTCAAATACGAAATTTGAAAGCTAAAATCATTGAAATACCGAAAATATGAACCTTTGTGGGTGAGGTACCAGAAGGGGTTCACAGATATATATATATATATATATTTATATATATATATATATATATATATATATATATATATATATATATATATATATATATATATATATATATATATATATCTGTGAACCCCTTCTGGTACCTCACCCACAAAGGTTCATATTTTTCGGTATTTCAATGATTTTAGCTTTCAAATTTCGTATTTGAAGTTCGTAATGCGTACTATAAGTATAAGTATCTGTGTAGGTTCACGTTTTCTTATAGCCCCCATGTAACGGTACCTCCTAGTATTCGGCATTTAATGATTTTAGGGATAATTTTTACCGGAATTGTTTCTAATTTTGCATTCAAAGTTCGCAATGGATACTACAACCTATAACAAAAAATCGCGTATACAGGTCCTCGTCTTCGTATAGCCCTCTTATAACGATGTCTCCCTATATTCGGTATAACCTATAACAAAAAATCGCGTATACAGGTCATCGTCTTCGTATAGCCCCCTTATAACGATGCCTCCCTATATTCGGTATTTTGATGATTTTAGCGTCATTATTCACCGGAGTAGTTTCAAATGCGGGAGGTACCCGCATGTGCGGGAGGTACCGGAAGAAATGGTCCAGGCTCTATCATCTTTACAACAGATCTTGTGTTGATGAAAATATTGGAATGTGCCAAGTCGGAATGGAATCGGATCTCACTTTGGCGTTTTCATGGATATTCAAAATTTTAACCCTTTGTGGGGGAGTACCAAAAGGAGTGGACCGATACATCCCATCTTCACATCAGATCTTGTGTTCGTAGAAATAATGGAATGTGTGAAATATAAAGAGAACCGAATACTTATTCCAAGTTTTATGATCGTTTCGGTTGTTCATAACTTTGACCGGAGACTCCTTTCGAGAGCACCAGGCAGCTAGACAGACCGAAGGACGGACATCGCTAGATCGACTCCAAATGTTCTGAAGCGAATTTGGTTCAAAGAGATCTAGGGTCTAAAACAATGATTTCGATGAGGCATGTTTTGGCCGTATCAAATAATAGGGTAGCCATATGGATGAGGGTATAAAAATTAGAAATATCGGCAATCAGGTTTCCAGAAGTCAAATATTAGGCATCTTCAGCAATATTCTAATTTGTTTAAATGTAATATCCAACGCTTAAATATAACGGTCTATGAAAATGGTTTTCAAGTAATTGGCAACACGAAAACGTAAACAAACTAAACACATCTAATTTTTTAGTGTTGCCATCTATGTACCCATAATCACATCAATTGAAAATATACATAAATTGAATTTTCTTGTACAGATGGCGCTACAAGATAAAATTTATATTACAACTCAAAACCATGCAATACATACATTTAAGATACTTCTCAACAGATGGCGATGGCTATTTATAATTTTGCACATATTTAAAAAATTGAATAGCCAACCGCTCTTTTTTAGCAACATTATTAACTGGAATTGTTTAAAATTTTGGTATTTGAAGTTCGTAATGGATACCACAGCCTAAGACAGGAAATTGTCTGTGCAGGTCCACGTCTTCCTATAGTCCCCATATAACGGTACATCCCTATATTCGGTATTTTGATGATTTTAACGTCATTATTCACCGGAATTGTTTCGAATTACGTATTTAGAGTTCGTAATGGGAACTACAGTCTGTGACAGAAAATTGCCTATGCAGGTCCAGGTCTTCGTATAGGCCCCATACACCAGTACCTATATTCGGTATTTTGACGAGTTTAGGTACAATACCCACCGAAATTGTTTGAGATGTCGTATTTGAAGTTCGTAATGGATGCTGCAGCCTATGACAGAAAATTGTCTATGCTGGTCCAGGTCTTCGCACAGCTCCGATATAACGGTATCTCCCTATATATGAGATTTTGATGATTTTAGCTAGATTATTCACCGTTTACTTCAAGATTCGAATTTGAATATGGTAATGACTTATGACAAACAATGCCTATGTAGGTCCACGTCGTATAGACACCAATATAACGGCTTTATTCGGTATTTATAAAATTTTAACAGAATTTTGTATGTATTTTATTTCAAAATTCGTTCCAAATAGTGGAGGGTATTCAAAGTTCGGCCCGACCTGCTTTTTAATTTGCTAATAATAGAATTACCAATCGCTGTTTTTGGTCGAATTATTTTATTTCGTATTTTTTTTTTTTCATAAGTTTTTCCTCTGTCTTTTTTAGAGTTAATGCATGAAAGTGACATAAAAATTCGTTTTGGGTAGAAATTGTCAAAAGAGGAAATATTCTGTACAAAATTTCCCCATAAATAAACAATACATCTAGGTTAAACAATTTTTAAGAAAATTACATGGCAAGTTTATATATTACAAGAGAAAATATGTCTTCATTAATTTTAGTTTATATATATTATTTTATTTTCTACAAATTTAGTCCTTTTTCTGAATTTGTTAAAAATGTTCAAATGTTCGATACAAGTGTCTTCTATTTTTAGCTCTGCTCTTGAATTTTTCTATTGCTATTGAATTTTTCTTTTAAGTATTTTTTAGTATAATTCTTAATCTCTGAATTCTACCTTGTATGTATCTCATAAGTCAAATGTTTTCTATATTTTGTCCCTATTTTCTATTTCAAGCCTTTAAAATTGATTCGAAGGAAAATAATTCAAATTATTTACCAAAATGTATGGACCTCAATCAAATGACAGGGATCTCTGAATACCAACAGATGATATTTGATGGAAGCAGTTTTGAACTTATTGACCTGCCATCACAATAACTCATATTCCCCACTTTTATACATCCTCAAAATATTCAAACGCATATTTATCTATAAAATGATTTTTTTTTATTATTTTCTTTTTTTGTTATAATAATATTCGATATTTAATGCAAGCATTATAACTAGATTTTCGATACATGGGATATACGGAGGTCGTTATATATAAATATGTACAGAGTAATAAAAAACACATCTTTAAAATACATGGTACACGATATACCATAATGGATAATATAAATTATACAAAATAAAAAAAAAATACTACAATAATACATATGTATATATATAAAAGAAAAAAAAAAACACAAAATTACATACAAAAATTCCTACTTGGCTAATTATGAATTAATAAAAAATATCGATTTTTTTAGTATCAACTGGCTCTAGGTTATTGTCGTCCAATATATATTTATATATAGTATATAATGTATATTGATAATGCTCCTTGGTTTCTGTTGGGGGGTTTAGAGAAAGCAGCATTTGCTACCGGGGGGATTGTTTGTGGCAATCCTTTTATGTGCAATTAAAAAAAAAAAACAAAATTATAAATTCCTGAGTCTAATTAATTATTTAATGGGGGAAAACATGGGGTTCCTTCGGGGAGGTGTTTCCTACTAAGAATGTTGTGTATATAATTTTTTGATTAGTTATGCTTGTTTCTTGTCCTTTTTGTTCTATGGAACTCTATAAAAAAAATATTGCATATTATTGCTTCTAGTAGAAACTAATATTCTATTGCTATTTTGAACTAAAATATTTTGGCACTAGATTTTCACAAAAATTTTCAAATTCTAAAATTTCGATTTCCTTGCCATGGAAATTGATTTTCCGGTGCCAAAATACAGTGGTGTAATTGGTATATTGCTTTCGATCCACTTTGTTGAGTACCTAACACGTATCGGTACGTCCATTAGGTTTTGATATAATTGCCTTCTTTTATGGTTTCTACTCCTCTTCCCCTCAAACCATGCCAAAATCTGTACAAACGGCAGTGGGTTGATTATTTTGAGGTTTCTCCCTAACCGAGGCAGTGGCTGTGGAAGAATTTGCTGCTGCTGACGCCGCCGCAGCTGCTGCAGCGGCCATATTCAATTCCACCAATGTATCAATGCTATTCAAACTAACACCCTGCAGGATTTTCTGGGCTGCCAATGAGGTAAAATTAAACGATAAATCCGTTAGGCTGGGAAAGTTGTAAAGATCCTCTGCCTCGGCTTGATGTTCTTTGGAAAGACTTAAACGCCTATCCAAGGTGTCCTTGCGTATGGATTTATCCACCGAACTTAGGCAGTTGGTATCCTTTTGGGCCAAATTTGGTTCACTGCCAATCGAGTTGAGATTCTTTTGCAGAATCTGGGCCAAGCTACCCCCACCACCGCCTCCCCCTCCAGAATTATTGGGATTTCCACTCAGCGAAGTGTTTGAATTCAGATTATCATTTTTGGCCAACAGAGTTGAAGAGTCATATCTCAAATTGTTTAGCTCACAATTCGAATTAATGGTCTTGTTCAAAGTGTCCTTGGATGACTTCTCATAAAATCTGAGATTACCCACCGAACCGGTCATTTCCAGCTTAGCCTTGCTGAAATCAATGCCACTCATCAGTTTCACATCATCACAGGGTGTTGTGGGCTGGGAATCGCTGTTCTTCAGCACATTGTTTTTATAAATCAACTGGCCTGCATTGGAGGGGGCCACTGCCAGACTTAGCTTCCGACTGTTATTCATGGTTGTGGTCGTTGGCGTTGTGTTGGTATTTGTACCTGATTCCATGAGATTGTTCTTGGAGGCCTTTGGAAATTCAATGGAATCATGAGGCTTATCCGAGGACAAGGAGCTTAAATATGACATGGAATCACAGGTTTCGGTATCCGAACCACGATTCGAACCACTTTCCGCATATATTTGATTCTCAGGGGTGACTGGCAACTCCGGCGTTTGACTTTTTTCCTTGCCATTTTGCCTTAGCTTGTGATTGGCCCCGGCGGCCATGTGCTGCTTGGACAGAGTTTTCTTGATGATCTCGCCTCTCTCATTCATGGTGGTTTCATTGTTGAATATAAACACATTGGAATTCTCATTGAGTTTGCTGTTCTCAAAGGTTATAACACTTTGAGCCGGGGTGTTTTGGACCACAATTTTGGTATTTGGCAGACAATGTTGGCCATCATTGGAGGTGGTCAGTTTGAGGGTAATTGAATTACTCGATGGTGAATTGGCAATGGCTGCAGAATTTTCCATATTTTCTGCCTGGCCATTTAGACGGGATTCCAAGGGAGAACTCGAATTGCCCGATTGGCCCGAGCCCATATGCTTGGGAGAGCTGGTATTGGGCGTGGAGGTAGAGGAAGCCTGATTTCTCATTATTTGCTCAGCATTACGGGCCCTCAACACCTGATGTCGTGGGGTTCCCCTGGGCGAACCATTCAACATTATTATGGAACGAGGTTGTATAACTGTGGAACTGCTGGAACGTTGCGAATCTAGACTAGAATGACCACTTGTGCGTACATACGACACCTTGCCGCTATCAATGCTGGAGGGTCCCGAGGTGCCGGCATACAGAGAAGTTTTGCCCGATTCCAAACTTGAGGGACCACTTTGCCACATACGATAATCGGGTCGGCTGTCCGAATTTCTATTGTTGGCAGGTGTTAGTTTCGTTGAAGCCGTCGTGGTGGTGGTAGTGGTGTTCCGCGAAGGCGAATGCTCCAGCATGTGACGAGCCACTGAACCGCTGTGTATGGATTTTTGTGAGCTACGATATGGTGTACTGGCCCGAGCCGGCAGTGTATTTGTATTGCCATTATAATTGGAGGTTGGTACGCCAACACCACTTCCACTACCATTCGTTTTATTATTTAAATGCGATGTGGCAGGTATGGATTGTGTAGAACGGGGCAGAGAGCTACTACTGTAGACAGGCGAACGTCTTCGTATGGGTGAACAATCTCGCGAAGATATCACAAATGTGGATTCACTTGACAAATTGCGGCGATGTCGGCGCGGCAGGGTCAAGGAACGTTGACTCAACTCCGAGCCATCATAGAATGTGGAATTCGACAAGGTGTGTACCGTGGGCATGTCCTGGAAGAGGAAAAACGTCAAATTAATATTGGGCCAACTAAATAGAGTCAGATTCGTAGCTTTGAAACAATAACAATAAAAGTACTCAAAAAATATCAGAATTGATCTAAGGGATTTTCTTAAGGCTAGACTAGACATGATGTTAGAGTCACATGTAAAGTTTTTCACAATTATCTGTTACATTTTTATAGCATAATTTAAGGCGCTGTACAGAATTTAAGATTAAAGGAATTTTTATTTAAAAACGGAAGACGAAACACCGAAAATCAAGGTGTACAGTTATATTCGGGCTATACAAAATAAAGTAGACCTACATTGACAAATTTTTTGCAATAAGTTATTCTAGCCACTAAGAGACCGAAATGCAGCTTATTTGGATGTTATCTGATAAACTTCGAACCCTTTGAAATATCGAAAAAACAGGAGGTATACAGGGTGAGATGAAAAAACTGCAACAACTTTAGACTGCTGTCATTTCTAAGCCACTCGTCCGACAGCTGTTAAAATTATTCCAGTGACAGCTTATTGTATTGTTTACAAGCGTACAAAAGCATTTTGTCGAGAATTTTCGTGATGGAATTCAAACGTGATAGTGTGATTTCTTTATCTTTGGCTGGAAAACCACAACTGGCTATCGTTAGAGCACTCCAGCATTTAAATTTGAATAAATCTTTTATGGCTCTTACCATCGCTCGTTACCGTGATACTGGTAGCGTAGCCCGACGTCAAGGAAATGGACGAAAAAAAAAAAAACAGCAACATCAGCAGAAATGGTTCGAAAAGTAAAGAAGCGACTTGATCGAAATCCTCGTCGCAGTGGCCGAAAAATGGCTCGTGAGCTGAACATATCGCAATATTCCATTCGGTAAATAGTGAAAAATGAGCTCGGGGTAAAGCCATTGAAATTCCAATTGGTGCAAAAACTTACAACGCAACAGAAAGAAAATAGACTCAAAAGAGCTAGAGTTGCTTCGCTTGGCCGAAAGTGGTGAACTATCGAATTTGGTTTTCTCGGTCACCGATGAGAAAACATTCGTTGTCCAGCAGTTTGTAAACAAACAAAATGATCATGTTTAGTTGCCAAAGAGTTCAGCTGAAAATGTGCATCTTCGGTTGGCCACCAGAACTCAAGCGCCGGTCATGATGTGGTGTGGGCCGCCATAACAGCCAATGGTCGCTTTCCGCTAGTATTAATCGACCGTGGCAGCAGAATAAATGCCGAATATGATCGCAAAAATATTTTGGCCGCAGGCCTTGGACATTCCAACAGGACTCAGCATCGTCGCACTCAGCACGCGCCACCCAAGAATGGTTACAAAATGAGGTTCCTCGCATCATTTCCTGCGCACAATGACCACAAAAATATCCGGATTCCAATCCGTTGGACTATTGTGTCGGGAGTATTTTTGAAAGCAATGTTGGCACTAAAAAATGCCAAAGTGTCGATCACCTCAAGCAGGCACTTCGCCGGGCCATAATATCACAGAGCAACATTCGGGCAGCGTGTGACGGTTACGTTGGACGTTTGGAATAATTCGTGCCAAAGGTGATGAATTATAGCAGACGAATTATAGGAGAATTTTGCACAAACTCACATGAAGTACGGTTTTAAACAATTCGTGACGTTCAACTAAGATTTTGACTTCTGAGACCTGCAGTAGTATTTTATGGAAATACATAAAGCGCATATTTGGCTGGCTTAAGTCATCGCCTGGCTTCTTCGTAAATGAACAAAGGAGTTTTAGGTTGACCTAGTTCGATTTTGGCCCTAGGCTCCTTTGTTCATTTCCGAAGAAGCCAGCCGATGACTTAAGCCAGCCAAATAAGCGCTTTATGTATTCCCAGCTTAAGAGACACTTTTAGTGACTCGCTTGGTAATCAAAATGTTCTACCGAAATGATTCTTCTGTGGTCATCATTTCAAAGATACTATATAACCAAATAATCTTAATTTGAATGTTTCAAAATCTATGAAAGAGGGGTGACTTCGCCTTCTATATTTAGGTTATTTTGCGATGGAAATATTCAAAACGCCGATACACGACCAAAATGTGCCTAAATAACGGTTTTAGACCCTAGGCCTCTTTGGGCATTTTAGCAGGGTCCGTCCGTCTGTTTGGTCGACTGGTGGGTATGATAACTCTCGAAGATATCATTCGATTTGATCCAAACTTGGAACAATGTAATATTATTATCAAACTTAAATCGAATTCAGAGATGGATAATACCGATCCACTCCTTCTGGTATCTCACCGACAAAAGGTCAGGATTTTAGTAAGACATTATTTTACCTCATTGAATAATAAAGGATCACCTGATTTGTTTGAAATTTTGCAAATCCTAATATTTGTGTAAGTGCTAGGTATTGTGTAAAAAACGGACAGTATAGGCCCATTCCTTCTAGCATCTCCAATATTTCTACCAGCCCTAGATCGGGTACGAAAATAACTTAGAAGGAAACACTAATATTAGTACTTCTCCTAAAATTCTGAATGAACATAAGGCTCATAAAATTCGTAATTAGCATCTGATTGTTTACCAACTTCATTATACTCGATCTGGTGTGGAGAGGGATATAGCCTGCCAAAGCTTCAAGTAACTCTCTTACAAAGGGTCAACATGAATATATTGTCAAACTCTGAGGGTACATATCTGCCTTAAAACCGACATACTTATTTGTTACTTTAAAATTTACAGGGAGTGCCTAAAAGTATGCTATAAAATGCCTAAGCTTAATGTGAAAAACCAAACGACGTAGATACCGATGCAATAACTTTAGACGTTATTTTTTGAAAGCTACCGGATCGAGATGCCCAAATATGATCTTTTGATTCACTTACATGATCCTGGGTCTGTGTACCCACACTATGAAGATGTACCGCCTTGGAATTAAACCATTCCGCTGGTGGAAACTGGGCAGAGTAGGTTTCAAGTTGACGTGACTTATTTCGGCCGCTGCGGCGAAATAGACGCGATAACAAAGATCCTTTTTCTGGAAATGACAAAACGAACAAATTAAACTAAAATCGTGTCCATGAGACCATAGTCACTTTGACTCACTTGGTGATGAGGAATCTGTGCTTTGGTACTCCGAACTACTGCTATCCGTGTTTAGGGTCTGAGCATAGGTTTTCGATAGGCTACGCGTTGAGGCACATCGCTGTAAACGTTTCGATGAACCAAACAGTCGTAAGCTATGCCTTCGTTCCAGACTTCGAGGTGTGGGAAATGAGGAGCTGCGTCGTTTTGAGGTTCGTGGATATAGGATTTTATCACTTGGGTTGCCTGAAAGGGGGAACACAAGAGATTTTCATTAAATGTTTCTACATTCCCTCCTCTCTCCGCGGAGAACTTACCACCACATATAACATCGGCCAAATTCGTCTGTATACACTGGTGTGTCAAATCTCCATCACGTTCGGTAGAAATTTCACCATACAACGAATGTAGGGCCTCCTCGTTGGTCATTAACATGGTGCGCGGCTCTGAGGGTACACTTTCGGCCGATTCATTTAAATCTTCATAGCCGTTGTGATGACTGCGCGGCCGTGAACGGGAACGTCGTCTTCTGTAGAAACGGAAAAAAATAATAATTATAAAATGTTCAAATAAATTTTCAAAATTTCTGGGGTCCAATTCCTGTTCCATGAAAATATGAAATTGAAAATTTTTTAAAAGAAAAATGTCGATTAAAATTTTTTATTAAAAAAAATATTTTTTCTTCACTATTTTCACAGAACAAGAATTTGCGCCCCCGCTGAACTTACTCTGGCGTCAGTATAAAGTAACCCTTTGCCGTCTGATAGATTTTCTGATCCTGCATCAGCTGGGCCAGTGAATCGTAAATCACCTCCACGGAGGGTGCCGTCATGTGTGGAAATCGTACTTGTATCTTTGTGCGTATATTTTCTATGGTTGCTGAATGACCTTCGGCCGTTAAGTCCATAATAACATCACATAGAGCTTCGGGTAGCGGGGTAAATTGACCCTGCATAATGGGCGTTACAATGCAGTCCTCAATGTCACCTAAAAAGAAAGTAAAAAAGAGAAAAGAGGTTAGTTAAGTTAGCTTCGGAGAAAGAAAAAAATAAAACGATATTTTTGAAATTTGCATTTTTTTAGCGATAAAAAAACCTTTCATGGGTTTTTCGGCAGTATAATTTAGTTGGAAGGCCAAAGGGAAGCCCTATGTAAAGGACGATTTTTAAGAGCTATAGGAAAGTATTTTCCAGGAAAAAACATAAAATTCTCAAAAAGGCATGATAGTTTTATTTGGATTGATAGTACCCTCCATATAATTTAAAAATACTTGAAATCAGGATTTATCCTTATAAAGAGACGATACCAAAAAGTGGACCGATTGGCTTCTTTTTTTTAAAGAAGCGATTCTTGAAGTAATTCAAAGCACACACTAAATTGTCAAAGCTCTATATGGCGAATTATATCTCAATATATTGGGTCTGCCTTGTGTATGGTCAAGCTATATAAAGGCTTTAAAAGAATTAGGCCTAAAAACCTGAAACTCATTTAGGATTTTAATTTACAAACCAATAACTATAAAATCCGCTTGAACTTTCCACAATCCAGACTGGCTATTGGACAGTGGAATTATGAGAAAATGTTCATCAAATCAAAAAAAGTGCTAAATTTGTCGAAAATAAAGAGGTTTTTGATGATATATTTTCATGGGACATGTTAGGTATATAACTTTCATTTGGTCAGAGACTCTTAATGAAATTTAGTCTAGAATATTTCTTGCTTTGACACTTTCCCCCAAAAAATCACGTATTAGGCGAGATTTTGGCATGAAATGGAAAGATGTTAAATTAGAAGTAAATAAGTTAAAAATTATCAGTCGGGTTTGCCGACGGATGTATATCCTCATCCTATGTTCGATTTTTTAAATATATTTTGACTTGTGTTATGATAATTTAAACTATTGACCCTCTATGACCCTCTATCCAAATGAATAGGACCATTTTGTCCATTTCGTATCGGACCTAAATAAATATGATATGAATATTGTGGCATGACAGGCTTGGACTACATCGACTACTTCCTTCACCTTATATGAGATGCAGGGTGAGATGAGAAAACTGCAACCAATTTCAGACTGCTGTCATTTCTAAGCCACTCGTCCGACAGCTGTTAAAATTATTCCAGTTACAGCTCATTATATTGTTTACAAGCGTACAAAAGCATTTTGGTGAGAATTTTCCAGAAAAAAGTTATTCGGGATGGAATTCAAGCGTGATAGTGTGATTTCTTTATATTTGGCCGGAAAACCACAAGTGGCTATCGTTAGAGCACTCCAGCATTTAAATGTGAATAAATCTTGTGTGTCTCGTACCATCGCTCGTTACCGTGATACTGGTAACAGCGTAGCCCGACGTCAAGAAAGTGGACGGAAGAAAACAGCAACATCAGCAGAAATGGTTCGAAAAGTAAGGAAGCGACTTGATCGAAACCCTCGTCGTAGTGGCCGAAAAATGACTCGTGAGCTGAACACATCGCAATATCCCCTTCGGCAAATATTGAAAAATGAGCTCGGGGTAAAGCCATTGAAATTCCAAAAAGGGCAAGAACTTACAGCGCAACAGAAAGAAAATAAGCTTAAAAGAGCTAAAGAGTTACTTCCCTTGGCCAAAAAGGGTGAACTGGCGAATTTGGTTTTCTCCGTCTCCGATGAGAAAACATTCGTTGTCCAGCAGTTTGTAAACAAACAAAATGATCGGGTTTACTTGCCACAGGGGTCAGCTGAAAATGTGCACCTTCGGTTGGCCACCAGAACTCAAGCGCCTCCTATGGTGATGGTGTGGGCCGCCATAACAGCGAATGGTCGCTCTCCGCTCAGAATAAATGCCGAATATTATTGCGAAAATATTCTGGAGGGTATATTAAAGCCGTGGGCACGCAAACATTTTGGCCGCAGACCTTGGACATTCCAACAGGACTCAGAACCATTGTTCTCAGTACGTGCCACCCAAGAATGGTTACAAAATGAGGCTCCTCTCATCACTTCCAACGGCCACCAAAATCTCCGGAAGTCAATACGTTGGACTATTGTGTCTGGAGTATTTTGGAAATCAAGGTTGGCATTAAAAAATACCAAAGTGTCGATCACCTCAAGCAAGCGATTCGCCGAGAATGGGCCAAAATACCGCAGAGCCACATTCGGGCAACAAGTGACGGTTTCATTGGCCGTTTGAAGGCCATAATTCGTGCCAAATGTGACCAATTCGAACAAATCGAAACTTATTCTAAAATTTGAAGCTATTTCCGACATTTTTTGCTTTCGTTCAATAAATTAAAAAAAAATGTATAAATTATGGCCTTTGACTTTGTTGCAGGTTTTTTATTTCACCCTGTATGGGTGAAATTTGAAGAGAGTTGGATGCTTATTTCGCTTCCTTTATGCGTTTTGTTTTTCAAAATCTTGAATCCTATGTGGGGGGAGGTACCTGAAGGAATGGTCCGATCTGTACCATTTTCATAACAGATCTTGTGTTGATGGAAATATTGAGATGTACCAAGTCTCAATGGAATCGGATGATGATCTCGCGTTTCAAAGGCTTCATGGATTATCAAAATGTTGACCATTTGTGGGGAGGTACCAGAAGGAGTCGACCGATATATACCATCTTCACAGCAGATCTTGAGTTAGTAGAAATAATGGGACGTGTGAAATATGAAGACAATCGAGAGCTTATTTCGGATTTTAAAATAGTTTTGGTTATTCAAAACTATGACCCTTTGTAGGGGAGGTACCTGAAGGAATGGTCCGATCTCTATCATCTTTATAACAAATCTCGTGTTTATAGAAATATTGAAATGTACCAAGTCTGAATGGAATCGGATGATGATTTCGCGTTTTAAAGGCTTCATTGATTATCAAAATGTTGACCCTTTGTGGGGGAGCTACCAGAAGGAGTGGGTCAATATATCGACATCTAGTGTTAGTAGAAATAATGGGATGTGTTAAATATGACGACAATCGAGCGTTTATTTCGAATTTTAAAATCGTTTTGGTTATTCAAAACATTGACCCTTTGTGGGGGAGGTACCAGAAGAAATGGTCCGATCTCTACCATCTTTATAACAAATGTCGTGTTTATAGAAATATTGAAATGTGCCAAGTCTGAATGGAATCGGATGATGATTTCGTGATTTATGAGCTTCATGAATGTTCAAAATTTTGACTCTTTGTGGGGGAGGTACCAGAAGGAGTGGGTCGAAATATTCCATCTTTACACCAGACCTTGGGTTAATGAAAATATTTTGATGTGTGTAAATTGAATCAATCGGACACTTACAGCACATTTCATAAAAGTTATATTTATTCATAATTTCGAACGATTTTGGGGAAGTACTTGATGGAGTGGACCGATATAGTCCATTTTCGCACCTGATCTAGCATTGATTTAAAAATTCGGATTTTCATAGTTAAAACAAAATCAGATTATCCTTTCTCTTTCTGCGGAGTAAAATAGTTGTTCTTTTTTTGAAATTTCGACCTTTTGTGGGTGCTGTACCAAAAGGAGTGGACCGATACTGCCCATCTCCGAACTTGGTATAAATTTGATAATAATATTACGATGTACCAAGTTTGGACCATATTGGATACTCCCTTCGAGAGTTAGTTAGAACGACGGACATCACTAGATCGGCTCCAAATATTCTGAAACGGAATTGGCCCTTTTCGAATAGGGTATAAAACCGTTATATCGACTAGACACGTTTTGTCCGTATCAAATGATACATACCCTCTGTAACCATATGGCTGAGGGTATAAAAAAAAAGGATTTTAACCTGCCTATTAAAGAAGGTCCAAAAAGACCTCTTCGGTGACTTGCTTGGGGGTTAAATGTTCTACACAAATAATCCTCGGATTGTTGTCTGTAATACTGCCTAAAACACAATGCACGAATTACCAAGGAATTTTGGTTCGAAATTTCAAAAAAAAGAAAAAAAAAACCGAAAAGGAACTGGGGGGATTTAATCATTTCTGGCTCTACTTTCATAATCCGCAGGATTTTTGCTGCAGTTATTGAAAGAATTGAATCTAATTAATGTTAATTTTTCCGCTCGTATTTATTTAAAAAAATTATACATTTCAAATAATTTTCAATATTTAATTTTTTTCCCTCCCCTAAATTTCAAAACTCCAACCTCCTTGGTTTATATGTTGACGGATTAATGGGCGTTCTGGCAGGTGTTGGTTGTACTGTAGTCTGATTTCGTGGACATTGTGGTGGTGGTGGTTGTGGTGGCGATGCAGTTTTAGTAACTGGACAACGTGTGGGACTTTTTGCAGAACGTTCAGATCCACTTACAAGAGAAGAGGGCATATTAAAAGTTGCATTTCCCAGGCCACCCTTAAGCACAGAGGATATATCAAAGGTTTTATTTCCAATGCCAGCCCTAACCGCAGAGGCCATATCAAAGGTCGTATTACCAGCTTTACTTCCCGTTGGCAGGGTATAACTGCGCGATGAGGCCCTTATCACCCCCGAATTTTCATTGTAATTTTCTATGGAAACACTATTGGCTGATTCCTCGGTACCCTGGGGACTGTAGGTCATCGAATAATCGGTGAAATTACGTATCGAAGGTCCGGTGGCATTAGAGGTCTTATTCATGGTTGAATTTATTGCCACACCACCTGTGGCAAAGGAATTAGGGTTCATGGAAGAGGACTTGTCCCTTGAGGTGTCCATAAATGTCATTGATTGGGGTGACCATTGTTGGGCAGAAGATTGCCTCGAAGATTCATTGAAGGCTGCAGGTGGAGGTAATTTGAAGGATTCATTATTGGGTTCCGGACCTTGAGGGGCATTAAAGGTGCTATTCATGGGACATTGCCGTGTTGTAAAGGTGGTATTGGTGGGATATTGTGCTGTCCGATTGGCCGCCACTTGATATGTGGCATTTGCGGGTTTTCTGGCCGGAAGCGAATAGGTCTCATTGTTGGCTAGCTGTCGGGGACATCTTGGTGTTGAGGCCAAATTGGGATTGATTTGAAACGAATCCTCAAAGGTACTTTCAAAGGTGGGCTCCTCATCACTGAGGGTATAGGTCAGATCTTCACGAAATGGACAAGAGTTACTGGCATTATATGTTCCATAGGTTCTGGAAGCCATTGTACTCTCATCATAATCCTGGGAATCGTCATAATAGCTGGCTTCACCATACATCTCCTCAATTTGATTGGCTGCCTCTGCCAGAATATCATATATGTTACGTCCAGCACCACCTTTCAGACGTTTGTTGGCATGATTCTCGATCAGCTGCTCTTTCATCTGGGTCATGTACTGCCAACGCTCTGAGATGTTTTGGCGATCCTCATCATTGCTTTCATGGTTCCTATTGAGAATATCTTCCATCCTTTTATTTAGATCATCCTTTGGCAAGAGGAATAGTTGTGATGGCGCTATTTCCAATTTTCGTGACCAATAGATGATTTCTTTTTTGGTCACATCCGAAAAGTCATCATCATTTAAGGGATTCGTGACTGGAGATTTTGGGGTTGTCTGGGCAGACATGTTTGAATCAAAACTTTAATTTTTAACACAAAAATTTGTTGAGAACTTTTAACAATTTTTACTGATTTGAGAAAAACAAAGTTTAAATTTTCAAAATTTTTGACAATTTGTCGAAATTTTTAAGGGTTACCACTTTAACCAAAGTATATAAAATTTGTGGGAGGAAAATGTTTTTTTTTTTGTTTTTTTTTTTTTTTTGAATGTAATTACAAACAAATATATAAAAATTTCAAAAATGTTGACAAATATTTGTCTAAATTTTTAGGGTTGCCACTTCACCCAAACTTAAATTTCCAAACAAAATGTATTTTCTCACAACACCAATTTTTCTATATGTGATTTTGTAATAAAAAAAAAATAGAAAAAAAATAAAAAAAAAAAAACTTTTAATATTTTTATCAAACATTTGACCTTTTTCATTTAGGGTTGCCACTTTAGCCAAAAAAAAAAATTTCCAAAAAAAAAAAAAATTCTTTCAAAAAATCCTATACTAATTTTAAAAATGTTTAAAAAAGTTTTGAGAAAAAAATTTCCAATGTTCTAGGGTTGCCACCTTTCCCAAATTAAACTTTTCAAATAATAAAATGTTTTTCTATTTTTTAATAAAATATTTAACATTTCCAAAATTTGCCACTTTACTCAAAATTAAATAAAATTTCAAAATTGAGGAGAAAATATTGGCTCCATTTTAGGGTTGCCACTTTACCAATTAATAAGTTCCGTAAATAATACAAAATTTTCTGGTAACAGAAGGCTTGTCTATACATAATATCACAAAAAAAAAAAAAAAACAAACAGCCGAGCTTGGCTGTGGGATTTGAACCGCGGACCTCGGTGTGCAGCCAACTAGAAGTTGCCGTCTCTACGATCAGAGCAATTAACCCGTCTTCCTAAAGCAGCACTAAAACAAGTGTATGCATTGGAAGCAATGTAGTTGTTGTGGACAAAAAATTCATCACTACAAAAACAAAAAACTTTGCTGTGAAAAAGATCTGCCAATAGAACTTGAGTCGAACCTGGAGAGTTTCTAGTGTATAATTCGCATATGCTAATTGCAATAAGTTCGAAATATATCCTACTTTCCAGAGAACGGCCCTTGTAAGCCATCATCCACACCAAATATGCCTGATGAGCCGCTTAACCAACGGCGAAACGCGTCGCATAGTGGTGAGTGTGTGATAGTGTCTATCTGGCTTTCCTTTTCACTGCAAATTCCTGATCATTAAGCTCGTCTCGAAAGAGAAAACAAACACAAAAAAAATTTACATTTTTCATGATTGCCAATTTGCAAAAATCAAATTACCAAATAATAATTTTTTCCTATTTAAAAAAAAATATTTTCATAACTGTTTATAAAAGTTCGACTATATTCTATTAGGATTGCCATTTAACCTGTTTAAAAAAATATACATTTTGATAATTTTTTAAAAATTAAAGGGTTGCCACTTTATCTAATATTCGATTCCCCAAATGTTTGAATACCCTTCACCATTTGGAACGAATTTCGAAATTTTCAAAAAATAAAATCCTTAAAAAATTCTGTTAAAAATTTTAAGAATACCAAATATAGTCGTTATATTGGGGTCTTGATCAAAATATCGTATATAGGGAGGAGGCTGTGATAAGATCTGGACCTGCATAGACAATTTTCTGTCACAGACTGTAGCATCCATTACGAACTTCAAATACGACATCTAAAACAATTTCGGTGGGTATTGTACCTAAAATCGTCAAAATACCGAATATAGGGAGGTACTGATATTTGGGGCCTATACGAAGACCTGGACCTGCATAGACAATTTTCTGTTACAGACTATAGTTCCCATAACGAACTCTAAATACCAAATTTGAAATTGTGAATAATGTCGCTAAAATTATCAAAATACCGCATATCGGGAGTACCGTTATATGGGGGTCATACGAAGGCGTGGACATGCACGTACAATTTTCTGACATAGGCTGTATTATTCATTACGAACTTTAAATGCGAAATTTGAAATAGTTCCGGTAAATAATGTCGCTAAAATCATCAAAATACCGCATATCGGGAGGTACCGTTATATGGAGGCTATACGAAAACGTGTACCTACATGACCCATTTTCTGTCATAAGCCATAGTATCTATTACGAACTTCAAATACGAAATTTGAAAAAATTCCAGTAAATAATGTCGCTAAAATCATCAAAATGCCGAATATCGGTGGTTCTGCTATATGGAGGTTATACAAAGTCGTGGACCTGCACAGACAATTTTCTGTCTTAAGCCGTAGCTTATATACCAAATTTGAAACAATCCCGGTTAATAATGTCGCTAAAATCATCAAAATACCGAATATCGGGAGGTATCGTTATATGGAGGATATACGAAGACACGGACCTACATGGACCAAAAGTCCTGCAGACATAGTACACATTTGAGTAAAATTATATCAACCTACTTCATTTCGTTCGGAAGCTAGAGTGATTTCTACAGACGGATAGACGGACGGATATTGCTAAATCGACATAGAATGTTATGCTGATGAGAATATATATACTTTGTGAGGTCTAAAATGTATATTTCGAGGTGTTACAAACGGAATGACAAACTTAATATACCCTCCATACTATGGTGGAGGGTATACAAAATATTTAAAAGTTTGTCTGCATTTTTTAGGGTTACCGCTTCACCCAAATTTAAATTTTTTAAAATAACATCAATATTCTGACAGCAATATTTTTTTCCATACGTTATTTCAAACAAAAAAATATTTAATAATTTCCAAATTGTTGACAAAAAATGTGTATACTTTTTAAGGGTTGCCATACTAGCCAAAATTAATTTTTACAAAAAAAAAAAAAAAACAATTTTGTTGGCAAAAAAAAAAAAACATTTCTATATGTAATTCCAAAAAAATATTTCAAAACAATTAAATTTTTAAGGGTTGCCATTTTGTTCAAAATTTAATTTCTCAGATAATATAAATTTTCTGACAACAAACATTTTTTCTATATGCAATTTCAAAAAATATTACAAAATATCAAAACTGTCCACAACAATTTTAGGGTTGCCACAAAATTTAAATCACAGAAAAATTTCTTGGCAACTTTCTTCAACTTACCCACAGAACTGATGATATACGTTGCCGGCGGCTTGAGGACACTTCGTGCATATGCCCCTCGGACCACTTCCAGGGCACAGGGCTCGCCGCATACCAACAGCATACCCGGCGCCACATGACCAGCATAGCGCAAAGCCCGAGTAGCAGCTGTTAATGGTGCGTTCCACCAGCATTGAGCATTGGCCGATAAGAAATTCTGTAAAATAAATAAAAGAAAACATAAAAAAACGGGAAATCAGCAAAAGCATTCAAACACAGACAATTGTCATTTATTGTTAACGGTGCAAAAATAATAAATAAAAATAAAAAGTAAGAAAATTTAAAAAACTAGGTCTTCCGCACAACTGTTTGTTCAGTCGTTCCTTCCTCTTGCTTTCGTCATTACGCAAAATTACAGCGATAAGAAATTGGCACGTCGTTCACGTACCACCCCTTGACTAATGAATGAAATGGGAAAACATTTCAGAAAAAATGGGTCATATCCAAAAAGAAAATAAAATATTTACATTGATAAAACAATGGTCGTAAATGTGGTGGAGGTCACTTTACGCAATGTTCTGAAAAAATAGTTTGATTTTTATTTTTGCAGAATAATTTACGCATGGGTTTATTTATGTAATACCAAACGCATTTTTATACGCACAAATGTTACATAGAAATGGAAGAATTACTATCGTTAATATGTGCGTTCCGTATGAAAAAAAATCCAATCAAATTTATTCAAGAAAAAAATTCAACGGCAAAATGGAAGATTCTAAAACCAAACAAGAATTTCAGGTTCTAAAATAGAACAATTGCCAATTTTTAAGGCAGCTGCTGGGCCTACTGTATGTCCTGGACTATAATAATTACTTATACCTTAGCCTACATAAATAAGGTAGGACAAGAAGACTTCTTCTGACAACAATTTGAAAACAAACTTAGACGTTTTTGCACTATTGTGATTCGATCTTTTATACCCTCCTCCATACATGGAGGGTATATTATGTTTGTCATTCCGTTTGTAACTCTTCGAAATAATCATTTAGACATAAAATTTTGCACAGATCAGTCTTTTGTCTGCAGGCAGGTCAAGTTCGAAGATGGGCTAAATCGGTCCACGATATCGTAAAGCCCCTATATAACAGTGCCCCCGGTATTCGGAATTTTTATGATGGTAGCCACATTTTTCAATGAAATTGGAAGAGTACTGTCTATATAGGTCCAGGATATCGTATATCCCCCAATATAACGGTACCTCCCTATATTCGGTATTTTGATGATTTTAGCTACATTTTTTAACGAAATTGTCTAAAAATACATACTAGAAGTTCTTCCGAAGCCCTTTACTCCCTGGAAGAGAAATGTCTATATATGTCCACGATATCGTATATCCCTCATACAACGGTATCCCCCGATATTCGATATTTTGGGTACTACAGCCTCTGACAAAAAATTGTACATGTAGGTTCAGGTCTTCGTATAGGCCCCATATATCAGTACCTCCCTAGATTCGGTATTTTGATTATTTCAGCCACATTTTTCAATGAAATTGTCTAAAAAATACATACTAAAAGTTCTTCCGAAGCCCTTTACTCTCTGGAAGAGAAATGTATATATAGGTCCACGATATCGTATATCTCTCATACAACGGTACCCCCCAATATTGGATATTTTAGATTTTAGAGAAATTATTCACCAGAGTTTCTTCAAATTTCGTATTTAGAATTCGTAGTGGGTACTACAGGCTATGAAAGAAAATTGTACATGCAGGTTCAGGTCTTCGTATAGGCTCCATATATCAGTACCTCCCTATATTCGGTATTTTGACGATTTTAGTGTCATTATTCACCAGAGTTGCATCAAATTTCATATTTAGAATTCGTAATGGGTACTACAGCCTCTGACAAAAAATTGCATATGTAGGTTCAGGTCTTCGTATAGGACACATATATCAGTACCTCCCCATATTCGGTATTTTGACGATTTTAGGTTTATCGAAATTGATGACATTTTCGTATTTGAAGTTCCTAATAGCAACTACAGTCTATGACAGAAAATTTTCTATGCAGATCGAGGTCTTCGTATAGCCTCCATATATCAGTACCTCCCTATATTCGGTAGTTTGATGATTTTAGGGACATTATCCACCGGAGTTGTTTCAAATTTCGTGTTTAGAGTTCGTAATTGGAACTGCAGTTTATGACAGAAAATTGTCGCTGCAGGTCCAGGTCTTCGTATAGGCCCTATGTATCAGCACCTCCTAATATTCGGTATTTTGACGATTTTAGGTACATTATATACCGAAATTGTTCGAAATTTCGTATTTAAAGTTCCTAATGGGTACTAAAGCCTGTGACAGAAAATTTTCTAAGGGAGGACAAGGTCTTCGTTTGGCCCGATATAACGGTAGCTCCCAATATTCGGTATTTTGACGATTTTAGGTACGATATTTACCGAAATTGTTTGAAATTTCGTATTTGAAGTTCCTAAATGTTTTAATGGAGGACAAGGTCTTCCTATAGTCCCGATATAGCGGTTCCTCCCGATATTCGGTATTTTCATGATTTGAGCTAAATTTTTCACCGGATTTTTTTCAAGTTTCGTATTTGAATATTGTAAAGGGTTATGACTAAAGTTCCCTATGCTACGTCTTCGTAAAGGCCCCAATATAAAGGAATTTTAATAGAATTTTTAACGGATTTAATTTTTTGAAAATTTTAAAATTCGTTCCAAATCGTGGAGGGTATTCCAAGTTCGTCCCGGCCGAACTTACAACTTTTTTGCTTGTTACTTCTCTACAATGATATATCACCTTTCATCTCCCTCAACGTTTATTCCTCCTTCCTTTTCTTTTTACGCAGGATGATCAAATTATTTCCGAGAGGGGTAGATACAATTGCAATTTTAACTGCACATCGTATAACCTAACCTAGGCCAACAATTCTGGATTTCAATTATATTTTCAACAGAATTTAGACCAGCAGTCGTAGTTTTTTAATGATTTTTTAACAAATAACGAGTTAAGCTGTTATGGATGTGTGCGAGTGTATGTGTGTGTGGAGTTTTGTAACGAAAAATCCTTTTTAATTCAAATTCCTTTCAAAAAATTGAAGCTAAATTTGAGCTCTTTGGAGTTTCTTAATAATTGTCTTAAATTTATTTTCTTAAGAGGAGTGGAGGAGTTTTTTGGAGTAAATCATCTTTGCGTCTCATTTACATCCTCTTTTTTCTTCCTGGCTAATAAAAATTGGGATATTGTAATAAATTTAAATTCTATTTTAAAGACTTTCAGACAAACCATCGTGAAATTGTTAATGATTTTTTTTCAAATGTTTTCAGACCAGCAAACGTAGATTGTGTTTAAAGGACTTTCCGACCGACAATCCTGAGTTATTTATTTATTTATTTTTTTAGAGGACTTTCAAACCAATTTCTGTTGTTTTTTAAAGATGTCTGTAACGATGTCTTTACGTCAAATACTATTTTGATGATAATTTTTAAGAACCGACCAATAATCTTGGATTAAAAAAAAAAAAATTTGATAGGATTTTCAGACCTATAATAGTGGATTTAAAATGAAGCTTTCATTAACAACTTTTAGACCAAGAATGGTTGATTTTTATAAATTTTTCAGATGACTTCAGAGCCAAAAAAGTGGATATTACAATGACGAATTTTTAAATTAAATGTTGCATGGATTTGTTTATAAGTCCGTATCGAAGAAGATTCATTAGAAGATAATCTTGGAATTTTCTGATATTTAGTTATTTTATTCGACCTTTACTTTATTTTTATTCGACCTTTCTTTTAAAACAACAAAGACCTCGAGCTCAATTCTAGTAAACTCAAATTTGAAATAATAATCTTGGTATTTTAATGAACTTTTAGAAAAGCAATCGCAAATTTTTTTCAGAGGAGCGTCGTGAATTTTAATTATATATTAGAGATCGTTAAGATCAATATCGTAAATTTTTAAAAGGAATTTTAGACTAATAATTGTTATTTTTTTGCAAAAGATACTAGCATTTTTGTTTATTTTCACAGTACCTTTAAAACAAAAAAGAGGACATTTCACACCAAAAATATTTTATAAACAACTTAAATTATTTCTGATGGTCTTTTACTTATTGCCTTTTTATTCCGTTTTTCTTCCCTGAATTTTCCAAAAATTCCAATGATGCTCATTGTTCATATCGAAATGTCAAAGTTATATGGAAAACAAAAAAGTTACACGATTTTTTTTTTTTTTTTTTTGATACAAGTTTGCCTTGTTTACAATACAATAAATATGTTTTTATTCATGTTTTTTTTTTTTTTTAATGTCCCGCACGTATTGTCGTACCGAGAACACATGATGCATTTATCATGTTAAACATTGCATTCTAAACTTTGTTGACAAATGTGCGTCGAAACAACAAAAACAAAAATTGAATTTATTCTAAATGATAGTTGAAAAGTGAATAACAAGGTTGTTTTTTGTTGCATAAATGGTTCATTGACTTGGCAGCTCTGTTGGAGTGATAAGTATGAGTAATTTTTAGTTAAGTATACGTTAGGTGGATTTTTGAGGACATGAAATATAAGATGCAAAAAGTTGGGTACTCTACAGTATTGAGATAAGATTAGACGATAATGATAGTAATTGGGCCTGTTATTATTATTTTTATTTCAACTTTATATTCAATATTTTTTTTTTAATTTTCTTTAAGAATATTTTTGAAGGTCTACAATCTCAATTTCTAGCAGAATATTTTTAAAAGAACTATCAAAGAATTATTATTATTTTATTCAAGCAATTAGCGTGGAAGATTAACATATTTTTTTTAACCTCCTTCAGAGCACCAAACGTGAATTTTTTGAAAAATATCTTGACTCGACCTTTAGCTCCCCAAACGCAGATTATTTAAGAATGTTATTTAGCCCTTATCATTACACCAAACGTGGTTTTTTAAATAAATTATTTTTTGAACCTTTATGAGAGTGACATACGTGTATTTTTTGAGGAATATTGTTGACTCCCCTCAAATCCTCGAAACGTGTTTTTTTTTCACGAATATTTTTTACCATCTTCAAACTTCGAACCATGGATTTTTAAAAATAGAGAGACATGTTTTTTTTTTTTAATATTTTTGAAAACCAGTCAGAGGGCCAAACGTTGATTTATTAAAAATATTTTCACATAAACTTCAGAGACATAAACACGGATTTTTGTGT